TTCTTCAAGTCAAGTCACCTTTATTTATATAGCGCTTTTAACAATGCGGATTGTGTACATTCATATAAAAAAATGCATGTAACACATTGAGCTATGATGTTCATGGAGGTGGAGAGGGTATGAGTCTGGTGTTTTTCTCCCTCTCTATACATTAAATAAAAGCACTAAATAGGCTAAAGTATTTTTTTTCGTGATCTCATTTACAATCTTGAAAGTAGATTCAGTAGTTTATTTCTTAATATATATATATATATATATATATATATACATACACACACACACACACACATATATATATATATATGTATATTTATATATACAATTTATTTATTTTTTTGAGTAACTGCAGCCTTGGTAAATGTATGTCTTCTAAAAAAAAAAAAACATTAAAAAATTTAACTGATTTACTGATTACTAATTTTACTTTTGAATGGTAGTGTGTGTTTTTATTCTCACACACACACACACACACAGTTTCAATACACAGCTTATATAGGTTTCTTCAAGTCAAGTCACCTTTATTTATGTAACGCTTTTAACAATACGGATTGTGTACATTCATATAAAAAAATGCATGTAACACATTGAGCCATGATGTTCATGGAGGTGGAGAGGGTATGAGTCTGGCATTTTTCTCCCTCTCTATACATTAAATAAAAGCACTAAATAGGTATTTTTTTTCGTGATCTCATTTACAATCTTGAAAGTAGATTCAGTAGTTTATTTCTTAATAATTATCTCACAATAATTCAGCTCCTATCTTTTATTGCAAGTAAGTTATGTTCAGATTGGTATACATGCCTGTCATGCAGTTTTTGAAATATGCCATATGTATGTGCATATATTGTGCACAGTGTATGAATAATGCATGCCCAGTGCAGTATCAGATAGATCAAACAGGGAGCCCACATGTACATGTATGAATTGGGGGATATTATAATAGTAAATATGACGTCTGTAGTCTCGCCTTAAAAGCCAATAAAGTTTTGAAAGAGGCATCTTAGCTATATGGAGTAGATAGATAGATGAAGCATCTTGGAGATGTTGCCACAGTTCTTCTGGATTTAGTTTGTCTCAGTTTGTTCTGTTTCTTCATGTCATTCCAGACAGACTGATCTGATCTCCGTGTGGAGCACTGGCTGTTGGTCAGACTCCTTGTGCAAACAAAAATCTCATTACAATTAATGACAAAATGAATGTTTGGAAATATAAACTCATATTTCCTACTGATTTTCTACAGCAAAAGATAGAAATAACTGACTTAAAACCATGTTTTAGCTGGTGAAAATGCTAGTGTTCTAATAAACTTTCAACGCCACCACTCAATGCCACTACTGTGCATTGAAAGGAAAATGGAAAAACATTTTTTTTATAGATGCAGAGGAAGTACATCATGAAAACTGAAAACAAGGTAACAGTTCCATTCAGCATTCATCAGTGGGTCAGTATGGTTTCTCATAAGTCTTCTATTTGGTAATCATTAAAAACAACAGGGTGCTACTGCATATGGTACAAGTAAATGCAATGTACAACATTTATAACGGCATACAGTACCTGTAGCCCAGCAGCCAACACACACACAGTTCCTTTTTAGGATCCTGAAACAAAAGTGCAGCCAGGTGAAGTGTGGTCCGTGGGCAGGAAGTTATTTTGAGGTGGGTTGTGAAGCAAATAAGCTGGATCCGTGGGGAATCGGATGGTTTCTAGCAGACACTCACAAAAGAGAGACAGCGAGAGAGGAGGCAGCTCTAGCAGTG